TGTCCCTCACGAATTTCCCTACAGGCAGGTCTCTTCGTTAGCCCTCAACCAAACAAAATTACGAATCTAACCCTACCGGTTAGTGTACAGCCTCACAGTCAATCTCGACAGTCAGAATCAGCAAGTCATTGCAGGCTTACCCTCCCAGGGAGCGAGGACCTCCGAGCTAGGGATGCAGGCGAGGTGAACGGCGAGGAAGGTTGCCCTTCTGAGCCGCTTCATATCGCAAAACAACTGACTTAGTTGTTTTGAGAAGTTCCCTTCTGTAGAACCATCTGTTCTCTGAAGGAGGCTGGAATGCGAACCTCACAAGATACTGCCGGTCGGGGCCTGTGCCCCACTCGTCCTCAATCCATTCCACGTCATATCCCTTACCAGGGATCGGTGGACCAAATTGAGGGGGCCGGTCTGGGAATGCATCATCTGGAGTGAAAGGAAGCAACTTAGATGCATGGAAGACCGGGTAGGTACGTAGATGCAGTGGGACGTCGATAACATACGACGGACCGAAGGGATCAGCGCCCACTGTATCTAGGACCTGCCATGGACCCAAGTAGCGTGGCAACAGCTTGGGGGAGATATCCTCCTCTCTCGACAGCTCAGAACTGCCCACCCAGACATGATCACCAGTGCGGATGGGGGAAGGCCRCCTGTGGCGATTAGCTTGTTCAATCATAGCCTTTTGGGCTTTGAACAAGTTCGCTCGCGCTTTCCATCTGGTGTGGGTGAGTGATAGTCTACTTTGATTTTGGTTAAGGTGGATTATCACTTACAGTGTAATCAGTGAGGGGATTCTACAGACTGTTGAGGGTTCAGAGGGGTTAGTAGAGTTAGCAGTCGGTGTAGTTAGAGTTGGTCCTTGAGTAGTAGAAGGTGTGTGAGTGCATCCAAGTAGGGAGAGAAGACACAGAGAGGTAGTAGACAGGGAGAAGACCGAGAGAGAAGAGAGGAGTTTCGGAAGAGTTACATACCTAAGTGGAGATACTGGATATTTGGGTTTGCGCTGTTGAACGCTTGTGACTGAAACTCTTAATTGCTTGTATGATGATTTGTTGGGACTCTAAGCTGCACTTATCTGGTCTTCATTTCTCTAACCTCCAGTGTGAACTTCGTGTGATCTTATTCATGCATGGTGTGTGATTGTGTGCGCGCACTGGTGGTGAACTGAGAGGTTCGTTGCAAACTGGTATCGGAGCTGTAGCTCGCTGCACCCACTGGACATCGCTGGCAATGATTAAGGCCGGCGAGAAGGAGAGATATGGAAGAGAGTTGAGTGGGGAGAAGTCTGAAGAAGGGGGGGAAAGGTAGGCTGAAGAAGAAGTGGCCTGATGAGTGGTGATTACGTACCTCCTGCTGCTGCGCTGGAGCGTTGGAGCGGTCGTGGAAATTCGTCAACGGAATGTTCATTGCAGTGAAGTGCATCCCCCCATAAGATCTGTATTGCTTGCTGAGTTGTTTTGGTGTTTGGTACCTCCCTCACCCTGGTGTCGCTGCTGCTGGGCTGGTAGAGTGAGAGCAGCCAAGCAGGGGCAATCCGTATGTGGCAACTGGAGGCGATGAATAGGATGGAGCAATTCGGTTATCGGACGGAGTTCCCGGAAGAGACAGAAGAGGAGAAAAATGCCCTTATAATAAAGTTGGCCAGCAGCAGACAAGGCAGATAAGAATTTACTGTTGGAGGAGAGAAAAGCAGAACTAAATAATAAGATGGTGGCGGCAAAAAGGCAGGAGTATAATGAAAAGAAAAGGATGAAAGAGGAGGGGGAAAGGTTGCAGAAGTTGCTGCAAGAATAGAAAGGGAAACAGGCTGCCACAAATGAAAGACTCTCTCCTAACAGATACTCTCCTCCATACTAACAACGAACTTGCTGCACTCCACCGAACCGTTAATCGAATGGAGTTGCACCAAGGGGAATTTGAAGGCGTCTGGAATAATTTCCTGTGCAGTCCCTCCAAACAGATTGACCATCGCATATTTGAATATGTTGACCAATTAGATAACGCCCTCTGCAAAAGGTTAACCGACCCTGCTGTAGTAAGGAAGCTAAAGATTGGAGGCGGGGGAGGGGATGGAGGAGATGATGGTGATGACGAAGACAAAAAAGGAAAGGGTCCGAAGAAAGAGAAGGCTACTACTAACTACTAGCACTGGTGCAGCTATGGCTGCCTTCCCTCTACCAGCGCTGGGCAGCTACCGTTGCTCCCTCTCTCTCTCTCTCTCTCTCTCTCTCTCTCTCTCCTAGCGCAGCTCTCTGGCTCAGCGCTCTGCACCTCACAATAGCGCACAAGTGCACCAGCACTTCCACACTTCATGCGAATGAGCCATCTGTCGAATGAGGAGGCTGGCCAGTCCTTGTATTGTCTTGGACCGAGCTTCAGCTCATGCCAGCCTCTGCTTCTTGGGGCTTGACTTGGTTCCGGTACCACATCCCCACGGCCTGTCTGTTAACTCCACTCAGGTATGTTGCAATGACTTGCTGATTCTGACTGTCGAGATTGACTGCAAGGCTGTACACTAACCGGTAGGGTTAGATTCATAATTTTGTTTGGCTGAGGGCTAACCGAGAGACCTGCCTGTAGGGAAATTCGTGAGGGACATAGCTGCAATTCTGGGAAAATATAGGCCCACTACTAACCCGAATTCCTACAGCTACCCTAACTGCGTATAACAGGCCCGGGCTACCCCTAGGACAGACAGGCCCTAAGCGGCCTATGCTGATAGACGGCTATAGCCTATAGCCAGGTCCGGTAGAGGCCGAGAGGCCGAAACAGCAACGGTACCAGTCGGTCAGTCAGTCCGGTCTAGGTCTAGCGTAGTCTATAGATAGGTTAGGCCCATCAGTTCAGGACTTTTAGTAGTTCATTTCTCGCGAAGCAGCGTTGGAGAAGCCAAGCAAGTTGGTGGCGGTGTCTGTCTGAAGGCGGCATCCTGAGACTTCGCCGTTGACAGCAGCCATAGACGGCCCAGTCTGAGTCTGCCATAGTTGGGGCATCCTCAGCGCATCTACCCTTGGGGTATCTGCATATGGCCGGGCTACATCGAGGCTCTACACTGTGTACTCGTGGGTGGTGGCAGCCATAGCTGTTCCTTCGGCAGGGTTGTCCATCGGCACTGAGGACTCGCAGGACCTGTTCTTCATCAGGGTGGTTGGCGCTGGCCTCTGGGAGGCCATTCTGATGTGGCGCTACTAATTGGGTGTAGGCTATAGAGTTCGGTGTGAGTTCTGAGAGTGGCGAGATACTGGAACAAACTCTGTTACGATAATTGTTTGAGTTGGCTCATCATCAGTGCAATTTTAATTGTTATTCTCGCTGGTTCTTTCTTGTGATTGGTTGTTGGGAGTTTCGTCAGAGAGTGAGAAACACCGTGTGTCTTATCCCCATCTGTGCATGATTGTCTTCCGCTGCCTATTTTCCTCGGTGTGCAGTTTGGACTCTGTCTCCTCTCTCCCCTTCTCTTGTGCATGTATGGGCATGTATGAGACTGTTTGTGTGTGAGTGGCGATAAAATTCGTCAAACAACCAAGTTCATAACAGTTGGTATCGGGGCGGGCTTGGAATTGGGACACTAAGGGTTGAGCGCACTGAGGCATCTTCTTCATCTAGCGATATACTGGCGAGAGTTTCATGGCGATTCATCTTCCCCAGTACTGAGTCAGCAGGGAAGAAGACTTTCAGCGGTGGATTCAGGTGTTCAGTGGTTGTACTGAGCAAGCGCACTGAGCCTATCAGGGCGCTTGTCAGGAAGTGGCGAGTACAGGGCTAATTCGCCATAGCCAACCCTGAGGGTAGTATTGCGAAGTACCCTTGAGTGGCGAATTACCCCTGAGGACGTCAGGGAACCCTGAGCGGCATCATCCCTAGGTAGCTGGCAGAGATTGACACTGTATATCAATCTCCTGGAGAAATAACCCCATCGGGGGCTATTTTTAGCATCAGCAGCTACCAGGCACTGTGGCGAGATATTTTGGTGTTGGCTATCTGGGCGCCACAGGACCAGATACAGAGCATCTGGGTTTCGGGAGTGCAGCACTACAGGATCCTGAGGAGGATCAACGAGTTTGAAGGTGTTTTGTGCGTGGGATTATCAGGAGGAATATCTGGAAGAAAGTGGCGAGATAAGGGTATCATCTGCCATAGCCAGATCTTCATCATCACCTGCAAGATTCTCTGAAAGTGAGTCCATTCCATGCACCTACCTGTATTGCGATCCAGATAGTATTAGTTCAGTGTATTATATCTGTCAGTGACTGGATGTGAAAATCGCAGACTGCATGACAGCCATAGCCATCTCTCCCCTACCTCTCTCTGCTCATTGCTCATCCTTTGTTGACTCTTTCTGATCCAAAATTGTTCTGTGGCTGCTATACTGCATTGGGATTATTCTGGGATGCTCAAGCTGTGAATTCTGTATTGGAAAAGTAGTGATACAATGAATTGCAGTTTTGCGTTGAGTCTATTTTTAGCCTGCGCTACCTAAGGTCAGTCATAACTTCAATTCTGTCCGTCAGAATTCAGTTCTGTCAGTCCCCAGTGAATCGCAATCCAAAAATAGACAATACTGTAGAATCGCAGGATTGGATTTGCAGTATTTCACTGGAGTGAATACTGTACTTCGCCATACCCTAGCGTATGGCCGCCAGAGTCATCAAGGTCTAAATTGGAGTTTAAGTCAGGATATAGGGTAACTGTCTGCATCGTTTGTTGTGGTTGATCTCTCTTGTCTGTACTTACCATGCTCTATCATTCCCATTGATTACCCTTGTTTTCTAGTGGGTACTGGAAATCTAGTGGGTCTCTGGAAGAGAAGCGGAACGATCTACTAACTCCAGTGTGGTCCAAGGTCAGTAAAAAGGAGATCGAGTGACTGATTTTGCTGGACTTACAGTATGTCTGACACCTGACCCCAGAAACACCCCTCCAACCCAAACCGTTGATTGCCTATACACCCACCTATTCCAGTGTTGAGATATTGCAGCGATTCCAGGGTGTCTGAAGGAACTGAGTATCGCTACATCTCTCGTTGTTGTCTGTTTTATTTTGTTATTATTTTGAAAACCGGAAATGTCTGATCAAGGGACTCAGCAGCAGCCACGGGTGGAAGTGGTGATGAAGGTGGAAGGTGAACAGCCTTCAGCCTCCACTCCTCCTCCACCTCTGACTGCTACTCAGCGGATGAAGAGGGAGTTGGAAGAACAGCTGCGGCAGCAGCAGGCCAAGCTTGCAGCGTTGGAACAGCAGGAGGCAGCTGAGCTAGAGGCTGCAACAAATCATTCCAGAAGAGAGTATCTGTTGCAGCAGCTAGACAAAGCGCTCACAGATGATCGTTGTGCCCGGATCACCAAACATATGCTAGAGATGATCCTGCTAGAACACAAAATCATCAGTTCACAATTCACGAACTGGGATGATCGCTTTGTGCGACTGGAGCGTCGGGTTGACGAACTGTCAGCTCAGCAGTCCAAGATCGTGGATTCTATTCAGAGCTTGACTGCTCAGCTGGCAGCCGCCAAGCTGATTGCCCCTCAGCTCCCTCTGCTGAAACCCAAACTCTCTCCTCCTTCTTTGCCCCCTTGTACTCCCCCTGGTTCAGTACATTCATCCCGGTCACCATCCCATTCCCAAAAGGCCTCAGCAAAGGCCACCTATGCTGCTGTTACTGCAGGAGACTATCGAGGTCCCAAGATCCCTGCTCCCAACAAGTTCAGGGGTGATGACCCCAAGACCGATGTTGGGGACTGGGCTGCTGGGACCAGGGCCTACTTAAGGGGCTTTGTCTGTGCAGAACAGACCAAGGTGGCGACTGTTCTGGGGCTGCTGGAAGGGCCTGCACTGAAGTGGGCCACTTCCACTTCCAGCAGTTTGCAGCAGTCCATGGAGGACTGGGCTTTTGGGCTTGGGGTGGACAAATTCCTGCAGGCCCTAGAGGACCGATTTGCAGACAAGGAGTGGAGCCCGCAAGGCTGTTGACAGGATTGCTCGCCTGGGACAGCAGCGGTATAGTGGGACCCTGCAGGCCTTGTTTGCTGAGTTTGAGCAACTCACCTCCACCCCTGGGTTGGTCATGTCTACTGACGATCTGCTGACCAACTTCTGCAGGGCAGCGCTTGAGAAATTTGTTGTTGCATTGTACAGCGTTGGGCACAAGGACTGGAGGTCCTTTGGCCGCGCAGCCCTGGAAATGGAGGGAAAGCTCCATGTCCAGGCCCCATCCTCTGACAGGAGGAAAGGTGCCTTCCCTAGAGGTGGCAGAAGGGGAAAGGCAGCCTTCACTCAAATGGGATTTGCATCAGGATCAGATTCAGATTCCCAGGTTGATGCACCTTCAGCTGGGACTGGATCTGCTGCTGATCCAGATGTTGCAGCAGTCGTGACTCAAGCTGTTTTGGGAGCTCTGCAGCTGCAGAGAAAGTTCTCCCCCACCACAGCCTCGGCCACTGCCAAGGGGAAGGATAAGGGACGTCGGCCTTCCTCTTCCCAGCGCCCTAACTTGCCCAAAGACGTCCATATGCCAGCTGAACCTCTCAATCCCTCCACACTCCCCTGGCATGACCTCAAGATCCAGGAGGGAGTCTGGAGAAGAAGAAAGGAAAGAGGGGTCTGCCTGAGGTGTGAGGGACAACACTTTTTAAAGGACTGCCCTTACATGTCAGGCCCAGGTCAGTCAAAAAACTGAAACAAACCCTGGGGACTGCAGTTCCCCCCAGTGCTGCACCTTCATCTACTCGGGTAGGTGAATCTGCAGCTGTTTCAGTTGAGACTGCGTGTGATAGTGATGGTTTGGGGACTGCGCGGGCAGCATCCTTCTGCTATGAGGATCCTGACCCGGATCAGGACCCGGGGCAGGATGAGCTTCAGTCCCTTGCTGCCTTCTTCCTTTATCTGAAGGAACAGAAGAAGAGCAAGACTGATCTCATCATGCTTCGGCCATTGATCAACAGCACCAGGATCACTGGGCTGTTGGACTGTGGGGCCACCAGGAACTTCATGTCTCCCAGTGGAGTTAAAAAGCTGCACCTGGGCATGAAAGTTCAGCAGCTGCAGCATCCGCTGCTGGTGCGGATTGGTGACTCTACAGTGCTCAGCATCAGGGAGAAGGTCAAGGGTATCCTTGTGACCTTCGATACCGCGGGAAAAGTCAGACACAATCTGAACTTTTACATTTTCCCTGAGCTGCCTTTTGACTTGGTGTTCTCAATGCAGTGGTTGAGGGCAGTCAACCCTAGGATCGACTGGCAAATCCCTAGAGTTGAACTACCAGACAGCCAGGGTGTGTATCAGCCATGCATGATTGCTGCTGATCACCACCCTAAGACTTCCTGCTACTGCCTGAGAGCGAGGGAGTTTCATGCTCTCTCACGCCAGTACCACCACGAGCGTCTGTTTATTGCTTTGGTCAAGCAAACAGATGCTCCCCATGTTTCCTGTCCTCCTGAGATACAACAGGTGGTAGATCAGTATGTTGATTTGATGCAGGAGCCCTTTGGGTTACCCAGCCGGCCAACCAAGCATTATATCGAGCTGCTGCCTGGAGCGGTCCCTCCCAAGGACCGCATCTACAGGATGTCCCCTGCTGAGCTTGAGGAGCTCAGAAAGCAGCTTGAGACCCTGACCAGCAAGGGCTGGATCAGACCCAACACTTTTGAATTCGGTGCGCCTGTTCTTTTTGTGCCCAAGGGGAACGACGAGTTCAGAATGTGCATTGACTACAGGGGTCTCAATAAGATCACTAGGAAGAGTACTGAGCCACTTCCTAGGATCGATGACCTCCTGGATATGGTGCAAGGCTGCACAGTGTTCAGCAAAGTCGACCTCGAATCTGGCTACCACCAGATTGAGATGGCAGAGGAGGATGTCTACAAGACAGCCTTCAAAACTAGGTATGGGACTTACGAGTTTCTGGTCATGCCATTTGGACTTTGCAACGCCCCAGGCACCTTCCAGACGGAGATGCACCGCATCTTCAGGCCTTACCTGGACAAGTTTATGGTTGTCTACGTGGATGATATCCTGGTATTCAGCAAAACTGCCAGGGAACATAAGGAGCACTTGGCTCTGGTTCTTCAGTCGTTACGTGACAACCAGTATAAGATCAACAGAGAGAAGTCCTCTTTTGGAATTCCCTCTGTCATCTACCTGGGTCATGTAATCTCTGGAGATGGCCTGGCTCCTGAAGCAGCCAAGATTGCTGCTATTCAGGAGTGGCCTCAGCCTCAGACAGTGAGGGATGTCAGGTCCTTCATGGGTTTAGCCTCCTACTACAGAAAGTTTGTCAGGAACTTTTCTGCAGTGGCTGCACCCCTGACTAACCTAACAAAGAAGGACACTCCCTTTCTTTTGTCCCTCCACGCCTTCACACGACTCAAGAAGGCCTTGACTCGTGTGCCTGTGCTGAAGTTACCTGACCCCACTTTGCCATTCATCCTGACCACTGACGCCAGTCAGTATGGCATTGGGGCAGTTCTTCAGCAGGATGATGGGAATGGTCTACGACCTGTAGAGTTTATGAGTAAGAAGATCAAGACTGAAAAGCTCCATGACTCCACCTACGAGAAAGAGCTATATGCTCTTGTCTGTGCCCTGAAACACTGGAAGCACTTTCTCCTGGGCAGGCACTTCAAGATCTTTTCAGATCACTCCACCCTGCAGTGGATGAAGTCCCAGGGAGAGTTAAATGACAAACTGGCACGGTACATTCAGTTCATAGACATGTTTGACTTTGAACTGAAGCACAAGAAGGGATGCTACAACAAGGTAGCAGATGCCCTCTCTCGTAGGCCCGACTCTTTTGCGCTGATCTCCTCTACTTACTCCTTTGGAGAGGAGACCCGTCAGACCATTGCTCGTCTACTGCCTCAGGATGAGACTTTCGGACCCATCGTCAGGAATCTGCAAGCAGATCCTAATTCTGAACCAGGCTATGCTTTGAGTTCAGACCTGCTGTATACTTGTAGCAAAGGTGAGGAGCGCTTGTGCATTCCCCAGGACCAGCGGCTCAGGACACTACTGATGTCAGAGTGTCATGATGCCCGTGGACATTTTGGGTTCCTAAAGTCTTATGCAGCCCTGTCGCAGCGCTTTTTCTGGAAGGAGATGCGGAGTGATATGCTGCGCTATGTGGACACCTGTGAACTCTGCCAAAGGAATAAGATCTAGCGTAGACCTCCTTTGGGACTGCTCAAACCCTTACCCATACCTGATGGCCCTGCTGAATCTGTGTCGATAGACTTCACAGATTTAGGCAAGATCACCCCTCGTGGCATGCGTCAGGTTATGGTCTGCGTGGACAGGTTCTCCAAATACACCGAGTTCATCCCCTTGCCAGAGGTAGCTAGAGTACCGGCTGTGAGAGCAGCCTTCTCTGAGAGGTGGGTCACACACCATGGACCGCCCACCTCTATAGTCAGTGATCGAGACCCCAGATTTTGCAGCGATGAGTGGCAGTCCTACAGTAAGGACTATCTGCACTCACAACTGGACATGACTTCTGGTCACCATCCTGAAGCCAATGGTTTGGCTGAAGTGATGAACCAAGTCTTATTCCAGCTGTTGCATCCTGCATCTCTCCAGATCAACAGGACTGGGATCTTCACTTGGCGAGGGCACAACTCATGTACAACATGTCTGTCCACTCCTCGACAGGGTTCAGTCCCTACCGGTTACACTGGGACGTGAACCATGACAGCCTCTCGATGACATCATCGATAAGGCTAAGCCTGATCTGACACCAGGCACAACAGAGTTCACCAGACGTTATACGGGGAAGAAAAGCGAGACTATATTCATTAGGAAGTTGCAATGGATACTTACTTGTACGCGCAGAAGATCCCGTACTGGGACCGCGTGCTAATGGCTAGCTCATGTTTAGCGGGTGAGACGATGAGTTTCGCCATCTCCGTGATGAAGGGGAGTGGTTGCACAACCATGGTCTTATATTCACAACAGACATGGATCAAGGACTTCTTTAGGGCCCTTAGAGAAAGGTTTGAAGATAAGAACCTTCCCGCATGACTAAATCCCTGATCTTGAACATTGGTAATCGTAAGTGGAAGAGTGCATCACTGCTCAAAGCCACTATGGACGAACCTTTCCATTGTCCGGACCATGGACTGACACCCACACAGATTTTGAACAATTTTGCTAGAGCACTCGATGAGAACTCAACTTTAGCCCCGGACTAAAGAAGAAGGTATGACTTATGAAAAGTTCACCAAGATCGCAGTTGATCATGCTGACTTTCTGCAAGAAGCACAGTGCTGCCATTATTGGAAAGATCTCCAGGCGGGGAAGAAATGAAGAGATCGCACAATCTCAGGAAAATAGTTGGGAAAGACAATCTTCTTGTCACCTTCGAAGAGGGAGGGGTAGAATCACTTACCTATGATCAGATAGATTACGGTTTAGAGGAAGACAACAATAGTCACTTAGCCCAGGGAGGGGACTATGTGGCTGTTGCAGCCCGCGGGGGAGGGCGACAAGGAGGAAGAGGCCGTGGAAGAGGAAGAGGAGGCCACAACCGAGGTGGAGGAAGAGGACCCGCCACCCAGAGGGGTAGTGGCGAAGGTAGCTACTATGTAGGAGGTAGGGGTAATGGTCCCTTGCAAGGTGGAAGAGGTTCCAACTCCACTGGGGGTAGAGGAAGAGGATACAATAACTGGTGGCCATATCCGCTCCATCCCGGGATCGCTGTAGACAAACCTTGGGATCAAATGGGGATTGACGAGAAAACTTGGGATGAGCGTAAGGCAACCGGTCAGTGTTTCAAATGTGGTGACCCCGACCACATAGTTCTCTTCTGTCCCAAATACCGGTACCCAAAAGGGAACAGCCAGTAGAGGTAGCAGTTGCCTCTACGGGGACTCTGGATGCAAGCAGACTGTCATCCTCCCATCCAGAGGTCCCAATTCCAGATGGCCCCCACCTAGTTAGTTGCCCAGAGGTTGCTTGTGCTAGGACTTCTCTAGGTGGTTCCCTCACAAGCATAGGTGATGAACTGATCACTCGTCGCCTCGCTTGGGCCGACATGAAGAAAAAGAAAGGGCAGTTGTTAATTGCAGACGTAAAAGTCAGTAGAGTAAGAGTGGGCGCGTTAATAGATTGTGGATCAACGCGCAATTATATTAGCAAGAAATGGCTGCAGAAGATGCGCTTGGGGTTTAAGGTCCAGAAGTTAGACCAGCCCGTTGTAAGTAAGGTAGCGGATAATATAGAAATGGTATTAGATAACTATGTTGAAGGGGTTAGGGCATACTTCTGGTTGGAGGCAGGGGGAAAGGTGGAACGTGTTATGCACTCCCTGACACTCTTAGTGGAGGACAGTCGGTGTTAGGGCATACTTTCGGTTGGAGGCAGGGGAGAAGGTGGAACGTGTTCTGCACTCCCTGACACTCTTAGTGGAGGACAGTCTCCCTTTTGACATAATACTACGGACTGATTGGGGTGAGGCTGCTGATGCAGATGTGAAACTGGGTGAGCATGAGTTTTGTTTGCCTAGCCCTATATCTGGCGTAGAGAATAGCCAATCCCTTTGTTGCATGAGTGCCCCCGCGTTCGCCCGGCATGTGATGCTGTTTGATTGCTGAAGTTCGCTATTGCTCATCTTCCTTGCAATTTGGTATCGGAGCTGTGGTACGATTGCGGTCATCTGGCACTTGTCTTCTGCCTTATGCGGTACATACCTGCGGTCTGCTGGGCGAGTTTGGCCTTAAGTGGTGTGTAGTGAGGAGGGTGGAGACGAGTGTTTAGGTGACCCAGGAGGTGAGGGGATCGCCAGGAAGGCTACGTGAGGTGAAATGTGGTCTAGACAGTGTGAGGAGAACTATCTAATGTGCGATTGATGCTGAGGTGGAACAGCGAGATAATGCCGGTTGTGCCGATGCAGTGACCGGTCATCGCAATCGCCGTTTGGTCATCTGGTGAGATTATCTCTGTGGTTGGGGGCAACTGTTTGAGGTACGTTGCTCTTAACCTTATCTACCCTCTTTGACACTTCTTACCGTGAGGTTGTGTGTTCCTTCTTGAGAGTCCTCTCATCGTGAGGTGTCTAGTGCGCTCAACCTTGAGAGTCAGCAATGTTCACGTGGGGCATCTGGGTGGAGATGGGCGGAGCTTTCTGAAGGGCCCTGGACGAAGCACTGGGTCACGATCACCATGCCAACCCACAAGGAGTAGAGCACGCATGCCTTGCTGCTTGTCCTTTGTTCGGCTCGCTGCACTGTTAGATAGGTACTACTGGGCAGGCCAGCCCTACAGGAAAGACGAGCACCCGACGTCTATAAATAAACATGGGAAGGGGATATCACTGGTTGTGATCGTCGTCCTGCTGCGATGTAAAATAATTCCTGATGTCACTTGGGGGCGGACGTTAAAATGCCTCTGGATCAGTTAGTGATGTAAGGTTCGCGACACGTCGAGGATAAATATATGTGCAAGGCTGGCCAGCTCAGTAGATACTCGGGGCACAGGGGTGGGCCGGACACACACCTTTAGACACGCAACGCTCTCCAAATTGATTAGGGACGCCGACGTCAAGTGATACTCAGGGGAACTAAGGGAGGGGTTGATTCCAGGTGATACGTTCGAGAAAATCCATGCTGTCCTATCCACACAAATGATTCTATTTTTATGTTTTTGACTAGTTAGATGTACTGCCATTGACATCTGACAGAAAACATTAGTTAGAACTGTTTATTGTTCCTGGTGCTTCTGTTTGCGGACTAGTCAGACCAAAAATAGTTTCAGTTGTAGGAATCTGACTTACCTGTTGACCTCAAGTGATATCTGTTCCAAAATAGCCACCAACTAATTAGTTGGTCTGAGCATTATGTTGCGGTAGGCACCTAGAGTGTCCTAGTGTAGACGGTGCACAACGTTGTAGCCTATGAGCGACCAGGAGGACATACACTTGGACGACCGTATCTTGCCATCAGCTAGACGCCCGATAGCCCACGTGTCCCTAGGACCGGAGGGTGATAGGATTCTGTTCCGCCAGCTTAGGGAGAGACAGCAGCAGCAGAGGAGAGCTAGAGCAGTCGAGGCCAGCAGGGCTTTAGCTAGCGAGGCCGGTGCTACAACAGCCATGGCCACTTCCGCCATGGTCACTTCTGCGCAGCAGACTTCCCAAGCCAGCAGTTCAGGTGTCGTCGGGTCAACGGTCGCGCAGACCGTGAGTCAGTCCACTGGCGTTATGGCAAGCCAGGCAGCAGTGTTGACTCCAGAGGATGTCGCCATCCAGCAGGCAGCCCTGCAGGAGGCACAACTACAACGGGCATTAGGAGAGATAAAAGCGGAGAAGGAGAAGATGATCAGAAGAAGAGCCAGGATGCAGCGGAGAGGGGCAGGCATAGAGGAGTTAGAGACGATGGACCTGACGAACATGGATGATGATGTGAGGGTAGTTAGGAGGGCCCTGCTAGGCGTAATAGAGATGCAGGAGCATCAAACTACCATCCTTCAGGATATCCAACAGAGCCTAGCCGTTTTGGCAGGCCGTGCTCGGGCAGCACCATCACCAGCCGGGCCTGGTGCCTGGCCCGTGCCATATCCTCCTTTTTCTGTCCCACCGGTGACAGGGGTATCCCCATATGTAGCCTCGTCATCGGTTGCTATCGTTTCCCTGGGCATGCCGCTGTCAGGAGGGGTAACAACAGGGAGTAGTTTGCAGGTTCCTGTTCAGACAGTGTACACCCAAACTCCGTTCGCAGGTTGCAGTCACCACGCAGCCTGCTGTCTCGCAGCTTGTGCAGCCTCAGGGCACGCAGCCCCAACAGCTAGCACAACAACCTGTGTCACCGGGTCCACAGCCCGGAGTGGTGCAGGGATCGGGACAAACTCAGTGGGTACCAAAGACGGCCATCGCCGCTCCCAAACCTTTTACAAGGGACAAGAGAGGCGAAGACCTCGACACATGGTTGAGGTCAGTGCCAGTCTATGTTAGGTGCAAACTTACCTTGCCGCACGAAGAAGTGCTTGTGGCTGCATCTTACCTAGAGGGTAGTGCAACAAGATGGTTGAGCGGTTTAGTGCAGCTCCTGGGATATGGTCATGACTTCCGCGCTTGGGCAGCCACCCAGAAACTGGATGACTTCCTGAAGATGGTGGAGGAGAGGTGGCACGATCCTCAGGAGGCTCAAAGGGCCACTGATGCGATCCTGACATTGCACACGAGGCAATTTAAGTCGGTAAGGGAAGCCACTGACACTGTTGAGCGTTTGATCTGTGTCCCAGGGGTGCGCTATGACCCCCAGGTCCTGCTGACTTCGTACTTGAGATGCTTTTCTCAGCCTCTCAAGAACCAGTTGGCAAAAGAGGCCAATATCAATGTGCACAATTTTCCTTCGTTCAGCAAGGTGGCCCTATACCTTGAAGCTAAGATAGGGCATGGACAGGCACCCACTACGGATGGGAGGAAGACGACACTGCCTCCTAACTGGAAGGCGAAGGGTCGCTTAGTGTTTGTCGATAATGATGGTTCCACTATCGAAGTCGACGAACACTTCCAGGAGGGAGTAGGTTTAGAGGCGGGCAGCGTAGAAACTTCAGAGGGTGGAGTGGTCGCTACCGTAGCTCAAAAAGGAAAGGCGACCGGTAGACGCCGTGGAGGTTCCCGGCCTAGGAGTCAAGTTGACCCCAATGCTCCTCCATGGGAGAAAGCGGGTCTCACCGACGACGTGTGGAGAGATCGTTACTCACGGCAGGCCTGTATTCGTTGTGGTCAATATGGCCACAACCAATTCAAGTGCCGCAATAAAAAGTGACGGAAAAGATCCCGCCTACGATGGGGCAGGTGTTGGGATCCTCTCACCCCGTTGGTAGCAATGTTGCCAGTACTTCTGGCAATGCTCCGGGAAACACGTCGGGCCAGTAGGAATAGTAGTTGTTCCTTCTAGGGTCGAGGTGGTTGAGACACCCTCACCATCTCGAGAGATGGCCCAAGCTACGGACTCCAGCGTCGTCCCGCAAACACGTTCAGACCCATCGAGCCTCTGTTCGATGAATGTGTTTGAGTCCTTAGAGGAACTAGAGGTGGAGTGGTCTAGATCAGACCCGCTAGGTTCTTGGACGGCTTTAGTCAAAGCCCCTAAGGGTGAGATGTTCGTCAGCGAGGTTGTCATTGGCGGCCGCAAGGCCGGAGCCTATTATGACACTTGCTCGACTAGGAACTTTATCAGTCGCGCGTGCGTTGAGAGGCTGCGTTTACAGGGTCGAGTGCAGCGCCTGAGTCGACCTGTGGAGTCGACCTGTGCCAACAAACAGCACATGGTAGTCAATGACTACCTCCATAATGTAGAGTGTTGTTTCCCGTACGCGGGAGGGGACTTGAGACATCGTGTCTCGTTCCTAGTAAGTGACGAGCTCCCAATGGATACGTTACTAGGTATGTACTACCTCTCTGTAGCACAGCCCCAGTTTGACTGGGACCGAAAAGTGGTCAAACACACTTTGCCAGGTGGAGGGACCGCCAGATTACATAAGTTCAAAGCTAGTAGTCTGATCGAGTCCTATGGGTGCATGTGTGCGGCCGCGTTCTACAATTATTATAAGCAAAATCAGGAGGCGGGTATGTATTTAGTTTATGTCTCTGCTGCAGGCGAGCCGATGAAAATGCCGCCGGAGATAGAGGAGTAGTTTAAGTACCCTGATCTATTTGAAGAGCCGACAGAGGTTGTTGAGAGGGAGGTCGTCCACGCGATAGAGATTATCCCAGGGTCTAGTATTCTGAAGGGTAGGATCTATCGGATGTCTCCAGGCGAGCTTGATGAGCTTCGCCGCCAACTCAAGGAACTCGTAGAGAAGGGTTGGATCCGACCGAGTGTCTCTCCTTATGGGTCTCCAGTTCTATTCGTACCTAAGAAGAAGGAGGGTACTCTTAGGATGTGCATTGACTATAGGGGCCTCAATGCCATCACTGTAAAGAATAGAGATCCCCTACCACGCATCGATGATCTGTTAGATAGAGTGCAAGGGTGTCGATACTTCAGCAAGATAGATCTGAAGTCCGGGTACCATCAGATTGCAATCCGGCCCGAGGATCAACACAAAACCGCCTTTCAGACTAGGTACGGTCTATACGAGTTTGTGGTGATGCCTTTCGGCCTTTGCAATGCTCCTGGCACCTTTCAGCACGCTATGAATCGGATATTCCATGACTACTTGGATAAGTTTGTCATCGTGTACCTCGATGACATACTTATTTTTAGTAAGACTGTCGAGGAGCATGTTGCACATCTGGACAAGGTCCTCAGTCTCCTGCGACAGCACAAGTTCAAGATCAACCATGAGAAGTGTGAGTTTGGCCGCACCCGTGTCTTGTACTTGGGTCATGAGGTCTTCGCGGAAGGGTTGAAGCCCAATAACACGAATTTCCAGTATTCGTGATTGGCCACGTCCTCAGTCTGTGACTGAGATGAGATCTTTCTTAGGAATGACAGGTTACTATAGGACTTTCGTTAAGAACTATAGCATAGTGGCCGCTCCTTTGACTGATCTGACCCGCCTTGACACCTCATGGGAGTGGACAAATAAGTGTGAGGCTGCTTTCAGACATCTGAAGCATGCGTTGACGCACTACGAGGTCTTGAAACTTCCTGATCCTGACAAGCCGTTCATAGTCACCACGGATGCCAGCCAATATGGCATTGGCGCCGTGCTCGCGCAGCAGGAGGGGCCAAAGTTGAGGCCTGTAGAGTACATGTCCAAGAAAATGCCRTCTCAGAAGTTGGCTAWGTCCACCTATGAGAAGGAACTCTATGCGGTTTACAAGGCTCTGACCCATTGGAGACACTATCTCCTTGGGAGATTCTTCATACTCAGGACTGATCATCAGACCCTGAGATGGATGAGAACCCAGCCTGTACTTTCTGACGCCCTCAAGCGTTGGATCGAAGTCATTGAACAGTATGACTTTGACCCTCAGTATCTGAAAGGGGAGTACAACAAGGTTGCGGATGCCTTGTCGCGTAAACCTGATTTCTCAGGTGCGCTGATTACTGAGTTTAATCCGACGGACCATGTTACTCAGTCCTTGGTGGAAGCCTATCGCGAGGACCAGTTTATGTCCGAGATCATACGCAGACTCCAGGCAAAGGACAAGAAGACCTCTGCCGAGTTTGAGTTGGTCAATGGCTTGCTGTTCCTTGAGAAGGACGGGGATAAACGATTGTGTGTCCCAAGTAGCGAGTCTTTGCGTAGTTTGTTTTTAGGTGAGTGCCATGATGCCACCGGCCATTTTGGGTACAAGAAGACCGCAGCCAATCTGCTGCAGCGGTTCTGGTGGCCCACGATGATGCGAGACGCCCAGCTGTATGTGGAGATTTGTCAGGTCTTTGACAAGCCCCGTACTCAGGCTCCTCTTGGGCTCCTGAAGCCCCTTTCGATTCCGGAACGGCCTGGTGAGAGTCTGTCCATGGACTTCATGGATACTCTGATCACCAGCAAGAGTGGGATGCGACATCGTGGATAGATTTAGCAAGTATGCTAGGTTAGTGGCAATGCCGGAAACAACCAGAACGGAGTATGTGATCAGAATGTTTAAAGAGAACAGGGTCAGGGACTTTGGTTTACCCAAGTCTATTATTAGTGACAGGGATGTCCGGTTCACCAGCGAGTTGTGGAAGGCCGCTGCTGCAGAGCAGGGAACTCAGTTGTAGATGACTTTTGGAAATCACCCAGAGGCCAGCGGTCAGGCTGAGCAACTGAACCGCGCTGTACAACACCTGTCGAGGCATTACATCAAGCCCAACCAGGTGGACTGGGATGAGAAGCTTGCTCTCATCGCCAGCTTGTACAACAACGCTGTACACAGCGCCACCGGGGTGAGCCCAAACAGCTTACTGCTAACATTCAAGCCTAGACTGCCCCTAGACTTTCTTCTTCCTGAGAATCAAACCACTGCTGCACCAGGTACCTTGAATTTGCTTACCACTATGAACAGAAGATGCAGCAGGCTGTAGAACAGATCCAGAAGGCGCAGGCTGCAATGATAGAGTCTGAAAATAGGCACCGCCGGCCTTCTACATTTCAGGTTGGGGATAGGGTCTGGCTTAAGTCGTCAGAACTGGGACAGGAGCACGGGATCTCCCGCAAACTCATGCCCCAGTACTTTGGACCCTGGGAAGTCTTGGATATCGTTGGGACAGATCCTGATGATCCATCTTATGTTATCCGGATCCCTGGTCATCTCCGTACTTACCCTGTCTTTCACGCCTCCAAGCTGGCACCTTTCAAAGATACTGATCAGTTTCCATCTTGTCGCTCAATGCTGCCCCCAACCATGGATGGAGAGGTGGACATCGATGATATTGTGGATCACAGAGAGCTGCCGGTATCAAGACCAGCAGGCAGGGGACGTCCTCGGAAACCGAAGCTGCAGTATCGCGTTCGGTTCCGGCATCACACTGATCCAAAGGAGGACCGCTGGTTCACCAGGGAAGAGCTCATGCAGACCGCTCCTCAAGTTGTAACCCAATACGAGAGATCTCTGCAGAAGGGAAAGCGCTCTATGATCGAGGATTGAGCTTCTCAGAGGACTGTTGAAGCTAAGGGGGAGGGAATGCGAGGCCAGTGCCTCTATGAGCCCCATAAGGCCCCAATTTGCAGCCCGTCGGCTACCCTAAGTGAAGGCAGGCTCGACGAGGCCCTCAGGGCCCTTTTCTGGCCACCACGCAACTCAGGGAAATTCAGGCAGTTGCGCAGCGCCAGTTGGTTGAGTGAACCCAGGCCCTGGGCCGCCTGTGTGAATGTATGTGAAGCAGGCCCTGGGCTGGATACGGGTACTGGGCCAAACACAGGCCGAAGGCAGTTGGGCACATGCAACCACTTCAGGCCCAAGGCCTGCTCTCGTCGTGCTGGGCCTCAGGCTACCGGGGCCTACTGGAAGCTTCCTGGGATTGGATGCAGGCAGGCCACTTTGATATAGGAAAGGGCCTGCCTCCTCATTCGGCATTCGGGTGCTGGCTGCATGCTGCGCAAGCGCTGCTGCTGCGCTATTTGCTGGCTGGCGCCTACGCTCTCACGGGCAAGCAGGGAAGGAGCACGCAGCCATAGCCGAGCTGCGCTGCTGTAAGCTGGGTGAGGCGCAGAGTGGTCCTTGGTTGCTAGTGGCATCTGTGAGTTGGGGAACGAGGTTGTGAGTGTAGCGCGAGACATACCTGGTGCTGGAAGCGTGCGACATTGGTCGCCATATGCTCGTACTTCGGGAATGCTGTTGACGTCATCTTTCGGCTTCGTAGTATAGGCTAGATAGGATCTGCCACATGTAGACTGGGCGCCGAGCGCCAGATAGGATATCAACTCTGGTTCTTCGTTGATGATGATGGGATTATTTCAGGATTGTCAATTATGAACTCTTGGTGTGTTCTTATTTGGTGAATCTCGTGATGCAACTCTGCTGTTGGTTCGAGGTCACGACTATCTGGACTCATATGTATGATGCTGTTTGATTGCTGAAGTTCGCTATTGCTCATCTTCCTTGCAGGTACAACTCCGGGAGTTTTTTTGGGATAGGAGTCCTTAAGGACTTATGCTTGGGAAAGAAAGTAGCTTTCAGTGTTAAAACAAGGTCCCACTGGCGCTACGCTTATACTTTAGACAACATGAATGTGGTTGTAAGATTTAAAAGGGCCTTTACCCAATTCAGACCCTGCCTGACGAATGCAGCATATTGGGGTCACTCGCCCAAGCCCAACTCGTGAAAAGCAGATCAAGAGACATGTTCTCTTGGTCAAAAGTCACATCCTAACTAAAGTAAAAGACAATGTCAAAGGTCACAGTTGTGCCCCTGGACGAACAGATGCAGTATTCAATTGTGGGAGTCACATCTGTTCATCCAGGGGGTGTGCCGGTTATGTTTGTTCATGCAAGAGATGTGTCTGTTTGTGCAAGAAGTGTGTCTGTTCGTACAGTATGTGTGCCTGTTCAAAAGGAGTCATGCAGTATGTGTGTCTGTTCGAGCAGTAGGTGTGCCTTTTCAAAAGAAGTCAAAGAGATTAAGTCCCAGTCAAGATTCAAGTCAAAAGGAGAGTCTAGATACAGACTGAAAGTCCGAAATTAAGGCCTGAAGGCCGCAGCAGCAATGACCCCTGAGGATAAGGGTCTGGGACACACTCCACAGAGGCTGGGACTGGGAAAGGACCCAAGACAGACTGAATTCAGACCTCGCAAGGGGAGGCCAGCACTATAAAGAACGAGGCAGCCTCCCCACAGGGCAGATTCTCCATTGGCATTGATGCGTGGAAGTGCTGAGGCACTTGTGCGCTGTAGTGCAGGGAGAGGCGCTGGCTGAAGGAGAGCTGCGCCAGAAAGGAAGGGAAGCTGGGCGCTGGCTGCAGGGAAGCCATAGCTGCGCCAGCCTGTGCTAGTAATAGCAGTAGAAGGGATTAGTAGTAGGGTTTCAGTGAGTAGCATTCAGAGTAGATTCTCGTAGACAGGGAGTGTGCATGCATGGTGAGACAAGGGAACCAGGACAAAGATCTTGAGAGAGAGGAAGGAGAGAGAGAAGACAGGTTTGACGTTGGATATGGCGGATACTTACCTGCTGGCGCCATACTTGTGATCTGGGGCAGACGCTGGCTGAGCCAGGCCCTGTGTGTATGATTGAACGAGGGAGAGACTTGTATTCTGTGGGCGCTGAAATCTTGAGTACGAGATACTCTTGTATAATGTGATTTTTGATAATATAAGCTGCGCTATCTGGTTCTCATCTCATCTCGACTTGGCTTTGTGTGAAGCTACTCAATCTGTGTGATGACATTTGTGCATGTGAAATGATACACTCCAGCAAGTGTGAACAGTCAGGTTCCTTGCAGATTGGCCAGGTGAGTGCTTACTTCTATCAAATGTAGCATCAGTGGGGCATGCCCCTTGATCATTCTAACAGGAATGAGATGCCAATTTGTTGCAGGTCTCATTCCCAGATGACCCTACCATCAAAGAGGCATTGCTTGCCCGACAGCCTTTTCGCTTCCGGAGGTAAGCAGAGCTTTGTGATGTTTGATCCGATGATCTTTCCTTCACATTCCCCTCCTTCCCAAGTCCAACATTCGTGTCAGCAAGAGAGAGAAAGAGAGAGGGGCATCGGGAGGGAGGGAGAGACAGTGAGAGAAACAGGGAAGGAGAGAGGTGGGGGGGGGAAGAGAGAGAGAGAGAGAGAGAGAGAGAGAGGGGGGGGGGGGGGGGGGGGGGGGGGGGGGGGGGGGAGAGGGGGTAGCAAACACTAGCTGTATGAACTTCACACTTGTGATTATGGCATATAGATTTGTAGTATCCCGTTTGATTGGCCTGGATAAGTACCTGATCAGTACCCTTACTATGGTGCATTGAGCGCTTACTGCTCTTTCAATGTCCCTTTCCACCTTGAATGGTTTGTCCGTTCCATTCGGTGCTATGATTTGTTATGTCTTTGATTGGAAGTTTCCTTGGGTGAAACTAACTGTCTCATTGTTCTTGGACTGATTATGTGCCTGACCCTTTGGTTATTCTTTGAAGTGCCTTGGTCCTTTGGCGGCGGTCACTGCACCTGCAATCAGACTCACTTTCATTCACACTTCACATGCATACAAACAGGTTGCGCAGCAAACTGGCGACAAGCGCCCACTTCAAACTCAGAGATATGGAAACCCGGAACACAGTTCAGATACAATTTCACTTCAGATGGCTCTGGCGCATCAGCGCCTGTACAACTCTCTGTTCGTCACTCGCTCAACACCGCTGTTCACACACAGGATCACCCTGGATATCTCACACACATCACACTCTGTACACTCACACACACCCGCACACTTCTACAGCTATGGCGGCTATGGCCGCTGCTACTCTATCGTTATGGCTAAGCTTCCTTCTCGCCCACTTCGTCTTCAGGCTCACTGCAGACCACCTCGCACAAGTCGCTGTGGCAGCGCTTCCGCATGACTGGACTGGGACTGACTGGACCGGTACCGCTGACTGCATGGGTTTGCACTGCCAACTCAATGCAGTCGCACTGCCGACGTAACGCAGCTGGGCTCGCCACTTGCCCACTTGCCTCTGACTGACACGTGAGGCAACTTCGAAAGGCCACTTCCGGACCTTCCGGAAGTCTGTGGACTTGGCCTTTCAAGTACTGTAGCAGCTACGACCTTGACCTTTCAGGAGTGTAGCAGCTACGACGTTGACCTTTCAGGATTGTAGCAGCTACAACCTTGACCTTTCAGGATTCCTACAGCTACAACCTCTACAGGGCTGTGACTCCTACTTGACAGATCTACAGATTGAACCCCTACCACTACACATTCCTACGATGGACAACAACAACTGTCAAAACACAGGTCACGGGTTCAAATACTCGGGGTCGACACAGATACTGTACTCAGGTAAGGTGAGAACCAGGGATCGAGCCCTGGGATCTGCATTCGCTACTGCTAACAGGTGAAAACCGTTTCACACTCTTCTGCGCAGTGAGTAAAGTTACCTCCACACCCAAGGTTTGCCAAACGCAGGTGCGGCATGTCCGGAGTACTCCTACTCACTCACCCCTGCAGGTTGTCCTTCTTGACATAAACCTTGTACGCAACAGTTTCTTGTGATGGTCGGAAACCTCCTCACCAACAGAATAGCCAATCCTTCTGCGCCCCGCGTCTGGGGTAGTGGGCCTGAGCACACTCACAGGTGGAGGCGTTCTGTATATAAACCCAAGCCATCACTTGGAAAACTCTGTGGCAAGTGCCACTTGCCGGCAACTTCCCCGTGCTGAGCCAACGGCTCCCAACCCTGGACCATGTGTCTTTTTGGCCGTGTCTTACTAAACATGCCCTCTTGCAGAGATCCCAGTGTATCTCGTGAATTTTGAATTGTTCACCTATGATGTCCAAAATACAAGTTGTGAATCAGGAAAGGGATACGAAAGGGGATTCCTTTGCCCATGGCATGGCACAGGGAAGGTGCAGAAATTTTGAATCGTTCACTGGTCTCGTCTTGGTGACTTTGCTGCTGGTCGTCCTAGATCTTCAGCGGTCAGGTAGGCGATGCATGTTGTAGAAAGGTAGGCTCAACCCACCGAAGGCAAAGCGTGCAAAGTAACTACACAGGCATGAGCGCTGGGCGCTCGTTAAACAACCTGTCGACAGTGTCTAGCCCTTAGAATCGTATGACCAGCATGTGCTGGACCACGTTAGCACAAGCATTGACCAGTGTGAGTGTTGAGGGAAAGTGTGTTGACCCTGTCCAACCACGTTGTCCTATTTGCAACCTTAAGGAGGACTGTGCCGCCTGTCCTTAAATTGGTTGTTGGCCGCTCGCCATATCCCAATAGTGAAGTGTCAAGCATCGACAAGCCGTGTAAAGGCTACGATTTAAGGGTGAAGTCAACGAGTTTTAGGTTTAGAATTGTAAGTGTATACGTGGTGAGGGTAGAGATACGTTCTTACCTTTGTTTGGACTGCCGTGTTCCCAACAGCTATGAACGACTACTGGGCGTTTGCATGCATTGGCCTCTCAATTCTTCTCCGGTCCTTACTCCGTTTCGTATTCCCATTAGAATTCTCGCTCATGAGCCGTGCGAATGTGAAGATACTGTGGGATAACACAGTGTATGAGCCAGAGGACCCCCAATATGAGGAACTTAAACAGCCAG